AAGTCCAAATCCCCATTTACTAATGGGGACATCTGTCCACCTATCCATAGTATTTACCTCATACTTTGTATTAAAGCTGCACTTTATATCTCAGATTTATCCCCATCATATCATATTATAGAAAGTTTGGACAGCAGTTATTATTAGCTAGTATATTCCATCTGTAATGAACTTATATTTTACAGAGTAATGGAATATTTAGCCAGTTGGACAGAGTTTTATGGCAGCTGATGCAGAAACTCACAAATGACTTTGCGAAAACCCTAAAGCAGGGGTAACCAATTAAAAACCAGCTGGGTCCAAATAAAGAATATCAACAACCAGTAAAAGTCCAGAGACATTTTAATTAATTATAATCTTTTACTTTAAACAGAATTTAACACTGAAATAAAATGAGGTGTTTATGCATCCATGTTATACATTGACTAGTTCAGTATTTAGATATATTCCTGATTCACATATTTTATAAAACACCTGAATAGACCGTTTGTTTTTTTTTGTTTTTTTTTTATGGCTTAATGAGAGCAGTGGGCTTTAGGCTGCCCTGCAAGGCTTTAAACCAGGGTTTGAATGGAGCAAATCCAATCTCAAGCACATATCAAGGTGCTCATTTTGAGCCTGGATCCATATTTATTTTTGATTCTGTTCATGGTGGAGAATCCTGCTTCACAGCAGCAGGTTGAGCCAAACATATTCAAAATGTTCAGGGTCATGTTTGAACACGCCATTTCACTTTTCTGTCACCGGTTCATCACAGTTCTTTCCAGCAGTCCACACTTTCTTTCACTTTTTTTCATCGTCTTCTCCTTCTTTCCCATTGCCCGGCTCGCCACAGGTTTGCCTGCTGTGTCTAAAAGTAGCAGCAGCAGCAACCCAGACTGACAGCAGCTCATTGGCTGATTTATGTCATGTGTAGCCTGGTGCCGGTCGCTTTGGAGTGCTTTACCGTACAAACAGGAGAAGCGGCGCAAATTAGAAACTGCTCTCGGACAACTTGCAGTAATTTATTAATGTTTTAGATCACGTTGGGATTTGCCAGCAGGTGGGTGCGGATCAGGACCGCAATCTGCTAATCCGTGACCTCTGCCCTTAAGGTTACAGAGTTCCAAGGCACAAATCAGTAAGAGAGCAAAATAGAAAAAAAAAAACATATAGTGCAAGTGAATTTGCTCATTGCAAATGTTTTGTATTGTGCATCACTACTTTGCAATTCTTTAAGTCTAATGGACTTATGTCGTCTCCTGACAAGTATCACATGTTGAAGCATGCAGTGAGCGGACTCTTTATCTAAGTAGAAATTAGCCTTGGGGACTTTCTTATGTTCTCTTTAGATTATTCCACAGATTCAGGTTTGGGAAATGAGAAATAAGTTAACTTTCTAAATGGTGAATCATATCTTTGTTGACTTGGATATTTGGATGTTTGCTTTGTTTACTAACCAAATGCTCCTGGCAGAGCACCCGAATTGTTTTTAAGATTTCCTAGTAGTTGACATGCCCATTCAACAAGGACGGAAAAGGGGGACAAGAGTTTATGTTTAAACTACAGGATTCTACCTGGAAAGGTCTATGGTAGAATCAGAGATGGAAGAGTCTGGCTGATTGTTGAACCTTGTCTTCAGGACAATCAGTGTGGTTTTCATCGCAGCTCTGGAACAGTGGACTAGCTCTTGTAGTGTGCTTAAGGGTTCATTAGTGTTTACCCAAACGGACCTGTGGACCTGGAGAAGGGATTTGACTTGTCCCTCGTGGTGCTCTGAGGCTGACACTCCAGGAGTAAGGAGTTAAGGGCCATCTACTAGAGGGTGAAGACTAGAAGGGGTCTGGTCTGTATTACCAAAGTAGACCTGTTTCCTTTGCATGTTGGACTCGGACAGGGCTTGGCTCTGTCACTGATGCTTTTCATGGCTTTTATGGACAGATTTTCTAGGTGCAGCTCAGGGGGCCTGGTTAGGAGAACAGTGGATTGCGTCTATGAATTTTTGCAGATGACTTTGTTCTGTTGGCCTCCTCTGGCCAAGTAAAGCATGTGCTTGGGCATTATTGAGATCAGCTTCTCTAAGTGTGAGTCCATGGTTCTCAAACAGGAAAAGGTGGCTTGGCCTCTTCAGATACGTTTGTTTTTAAGATGGATAGTGAAACGGATTATTTAATATCAGTTTAACTATTCCCCAATATGTGCTCAGGATATTTTTGAGCCAAATCTGGAAGCTGCCATGCTTTCTTCCTCAACTTACATGATAAATAATATACAATAATACAAAAGGCATCAGGCATCATAGGCTAGAAATGTCTTAAAAGCATAATCAAAAAAATGCCTCTATGTGATTGGTTTAAAAAATGCTTTAGCATTAACATTTTGTCCTTTTCTTTTTTTAAATCTAAATATATTGTTCAGATTAAAAAAACAACAACTTATTATTTATCTTCAGTTTAAATAAAATACGTTTTTAAACAAACTTTATGAATCTAACTTAGCTCAACAGAACATTTAGAGAAGCGACAAAGCAAGCACTGCACATGATCTCAATGCATGGCAATGCACTAATGAATCGACCAACGCGTGCATGTATAAACTGATACTGCTACCAAAAATAACCTGCTAACATCGGCTAAAAATACCGCCTGGACCATTGAGCAAGGAATATGTCTCTCAGCTGACCCAGGAATGACTAAGCCTTCTCCCAGAGGAGCTACAGGAGATGTCTGGGGAAAGTCTGGGCATCTTTGCTGAGACTTCTGTCCCTGCGACACGTATGAGACCTAGTGTTTCAGAGAATATATCCCACCATGCAGTCTGGCAAAGTTTTGCATCCTGTTAAAAGGAAAACATCTGCAAATCACAAATGTTACCCATTTATAACAGTGGGCATGGGGAGCTTTTTCACATAATCTTTTATTAACTCCAGACACTCCTGCATTTGTTGCAGATAAGGCTTCATCTCATCCCATCTAGGGCTCAAATTAAAGTCTCTAAAAACTTTAACAAACTTTAGATGTTTAAGTTTGTGATGACAGGACAAAAAAAGGACCTTTGCTGGCATCACTGTAAATAAAAACAATTCCCTCTTAAATGCTGTCGTGACTCTAGATTTCAACAACAGTCTGCTATATACTTCTCTAGGACCCATTACCCGACTGTTCAAAAGTTACAAATGTTCTTTAGTTTAATGGCCTCTTTTCTTATAATCTGCATGTTGAAGAACTTTTTTGAAAAGCTTACATACCTTTCCATTAAAAACAGAGAAAATCAGCTAACAGTGAAATAAATTGAAATTGACCGAAGTCATAAATAAAAATTATGAAAAATGGAAATAGTGACATTGATTTTAAATCTGAATGTATATAAAACAAGTAAACATGCCTGATGCAGCTCCTGAGCTAACATTTTGTTGAGCAACACTTTGAGGAAACCACTGAAATTAGCTGTTCTATGTAATGTTCCTGAGATGTGCAGTCAGACTTCTGCAGGTGTTGACAAGTATGTTGGTGCACTGTTCATGAGCAAGATCCTTTAATTTTTGTGGGACATGTTTTTTCTTTTTCTTTTTTGATGTTAGTTACAGTTAGAGAACCAGGACTACACTGGAAAACAGGCTATTCTTGAACATCGGTAAACAAAGGTGTTGATTGCAGCTGCACAGCCGACACCCCTCTCTCGGATGATGTCACAGCCAAACAGTAACAGACCAGATGCAGCTACTATAAGATCGAGCAGAGAGATTTAACAAAAAAAATACTGCAGAATGGGAAAATATAGATAGAATGAAGCTGAAAAAATGTAAAGTGGTCCCTATGTCCTCCAGCAGTCTGATGCTTGGTTTATACTCATTGAACAGGGCAAGAAGATGCGGGCATCCTCACCCGGAGCACAGACCTTGCGCACACCCTCCGCGCTGGGCTGTGCACATCCTTACAGTTTGAAGTCACAAATACTGCAGAATGGGAGAATAGAGATAGAATGAAAGAGAATGATATAAAGGGGTCCCTATGTCCTCCAGAAGTCGAATCCTATAGCAGCATAACTATAGAGATAGCTCAGGATGACATGGGCTATTCTAACTATTACCTTTATTAAAAAGGAAAGTTTTAAGCCTAGCCTTAAAAGTAGACAGGGAGTCTGCCTTACTGACTAAATGGGTAGTTGTTCCACTATAAATGATTTTGATAGAAGTTTGGTGGAAAAGGACAAAAGGCAAATTTAAATTCACAACAGAAATATTCAAAAGATAAAGAAGCCAAGCAATTCAGTCTGAAGCAAAATAAGGAGAAAACAGTCCTCATGGAGAGCACAGCCGTCTTGGCTGAGACGGACAAGTGAGAAATACATGAAAACACAGTGTCATGGTAGACAGATGGCATGATTTGACAGAGATCAGACTTGTTTGCTTGGTATTTTGCTGCATCTCTGCGTTTTTTGTTGTTTATTTATGACATATTATGCTGCCAGAAGAAATTATGTGGCAGGGGGCGATGAGGAAAAGGGGGGGGGGGGGGGGGGTATGTTTTTTGTATGCTCATTTTGCTTTCACACTCGTTAGTGTTTCAGGTTCCTCTGCCTGCTGGCATGTTCAGCTCAGCTCTGACTCACTGCGGCTCCAAAGCATGTTTGTTGGTTCTACAGTGGGGAGAATGTGAAAAAAAAAAATGAAATAGCCATACGAATCAACAGTTGTGTGACAAACAGATCTACTCTCCAATCCTTTTCTTGCACTGATCTACAGTAAGCAATAAAAAGTAATGTTAATGTTGTGAGGAGTTGTGCTGTTGATGCATGTGTAAACATGACACATTCATCCTTAAACATGCTAAAGCAGAAGCAGGAGCTTCAGGCAGGGTGTCTGGTCATACTGCTCCTGTGCTGGATGGAAATCAAGACCGTTCTCCTCCTTCCTTCAGCAGTGGGGAATATTCGTCTTCCAGTTCTGCAGCTTTTTAACCTTTTGAATATTTCAGAAAGGTTAGATAATGTTGTAATTAAGCTCTTCTTTGTGTCTGCAGATTCCAGTGAGACCGTGGCACCTCCCTGCGTGCATGAGTGTAAGGGTGTGAGTGTGTGTGTGTGTGAGAGCAAGTGAGCGCCAGCGCTCCCACATGGCCTCCATGCAGGACGGGCTGAACTTCACGGCTCCTCCCTACGGCAAGGTCCTGCTGCTGGGTGCTATCGCTGCTGCCTCAGCCTTTGTTGTTACCATCCTTATAGTGGTGCTCTGTGTGGGCTGCCAGAGGTGAGAGCAACACTGCATGCGCCACAGAACATCTTTCTGCATTTGAACTTTTGAGGGTATATTCTCTTTTTTGCAAAAAGAAAAAAAAAGTACAGATGGTGGGAAAAGTTGTCAAAATCTTGAAAAGATGTAGTTGTAGTGACTTTTTAAAATAGTATATCTAGAGTGTTTAAAAATTAAGATTTTTTTTATCTTTTCTTTTATTTATCACTGAAAATATTTTAGAAGAAAAAATTTATTTTTTAAACAATGATTTCACCTATTAGCGAAACCCAAAAGGGTTCAATGTCAAATCATGACTAAATGTGATAAGTAGCGTTGGTTCGGTTTACTTAAAGCAGCCACAGGCAGGCCAGACACCTCTAACAATTTCAGAATAAGAAGTCACCCAAACAGAACCTTTCTAACGATGTGAAGTTGGCTCGCAGGTCTCAAAAAGGCAACATATTATTTCTCAAACTAAATAATTAATATCGAGAAAAAAAAAACTTGCTCATAGAGGTCTATTAGCATGGAAAGAGTCTCAAAGCTGTATAAGGGTTTGGAACTCCAGTAAACTAAACTACTAATTTGCATACATAAAATCATACCCCATGCTAGTACAGGGGAACCGTTTAAGAGAACGTTTATGAATGTTGTCAGACTGAACCCGCACAGGAACAGAAAGCCAACTCCATACAAAAAGACTGAGATTTAAACCCAGGAGAGAAAGGGGACAGTGAAACCACTTGCAAAATTGTTCAGTCCAGAAATTAAAAACAAGATGGATTTATCAATCAAGACTTGTTCTCCGTTTTACAGCCAAGCGCAGGTGTGGAGGTTGATGAGTGACGCTATGCAAGCAATTTAAATAAGTCCATCGTTTATTAAAAAAGCACAAAATTTATTTATTAAATATATAAATAACTATTTAGTGGTGTTGCACCGATACCGATACCAGTATCGGACGGGGCCCCGATACTGCCCTAAAATGGTGGTATCGATATCGGCGAGTACCAACAAATAGGGCACAGATACCATTCTGAGAGCCATAAGTTATTTCAACTATTGTCACCCACTCCTGGTAGGCAATAAAAAGTTCTACTGGATTCACTTAGTATTAGATTTTTTTCCTGCTTCACAAAAGTAGGTAGCAGCTTGACAAAGCCATGATGGCAATTATTTTACATTATTATGGTATCGGTATCGGCCGATACTGCATAGCCAGGTATCGGGTATCGGGGCCAAAAAATGGCATTGGTGCAAAACTACTATTTAGTACTAGTTGAATATATTTAGTTAATTTTAAGAAGTGAATATATTTATTTCATGATTTAATAAATCCTTTCATGTTCCGGCGCTGAAACACACCATTAATTAATTTAAACTGTCACAAATCCATCAAAGTAGAAGAGGCGGGACTATGAGGCGCTTCCCTAGAACCCCCTAAAATCTGATTGGGTGCTTCTCACTGACCAAAATACGAAATCTTCTTTCTCATTTTGTTTTACTCTAATGTAAACACTTGGGTGAGCAATTGGGTAAGCAACTTCAGCCTCTATATATATAGTTTGATCTCTAAAAAGTTAATAAGACAATGTGAGCTGGTGTTAGCTAGTGGGCGGGGCTAACTTTGAATCTGCTGAAGGTTCTGGAAGCTTATTAGATTTACTTTAGACCAAATTATGGATATAGAGGCTGCATTTATTCACTCATTGCGCTGTTAATAAATTTAAACACCTTTCTGAAGTAATTTTAGCCTTTTCCAGAGATAATATCGACTTTAGAGTAACAGAAAATCAGGAAGAATTTGTTATCTTGTGTCGGGTTCATAAAATGTAGGTTTTTTCTTAAGAAAAACTGAAATACCCGATTTATCGATATAATTCCTGCAGGAAGGAGAGACAGTTGAACCCCAGACTCAAACGCACTGTCTCCCACTGGACCCCCTCTGCAGAGCGTTTATTAACAGAACATGACGCATGGTTACAAACAGAGTATTGTTCTGACAGAACTGATCAGTTCATGAAGACAGAATCCATCAGAATGACAAGGCAGGATGGTCTCCTGACTGGATCATGAGACAGGAGTGGAGCATCCCCTTTCAAAAATGTTTCATAAGCACACATTAATTTTGTAATCATCATTGAATAATCCTGACATCTTGCCTAAATAGAAGCGACTAATCAGATATCAGGGATTCTGTGGGAGCAGCCTTAGTCCCGCCTCCTTGACCTTGATGGTTGTGTGACAGTTTGAATTAATTCATGGAATGCTTCAGGCACATCTAATAATTTATTGAATCATAAAATAATTATTTTTACTTCATTAAACAAATTACAAAATTTAACTGAGGCCTGTATCATTAATCATATATTTATTAAATAAATTCTGTATTTACTCCCAATTTTGATAAATTAATAACAAATCTAGATGATAATTTCATCATAGATATTTATTTATTGAATTGTGGCATATATCAGGATCTTAAAGGATCTTAAATCGGTTTTAGAAAATAAGGCTTTCACAAAACTAAACTTCTCACAAAAAATTATATTTGAGCTTTATTCTGATGATCCAAGGTAAATCCTTCTAAGTTTGCCCTTTAAGTTTATGATTATTTAATATTTGTTTTATTATTACGATATTTAACCTAAGTGGTATGAGGTGGTAATGATGGAGTAATAAGAAATAGAAAAAAAAAACAGAGTAAAGAAGATGCAAGTTAGGGTGTGTTTGAGTCACCTGCCAGGGCTATAGTTAACTACCGTAAAAAGAAAAATAAAGTAATACTGATTTAAAGGAATATTTTTTGTTAACTAAAAAGAAAACCTCCAGAACATGGTCCTCTCATGCTCCTGCATGCTCCTGCATGCTCCTGCATAAAACAAATATTGCTGTGGAGGGCAGCCAAGCATGTCCGGTTATTATATATGGAGAATCAAGTCAGGTTAACACAAAAACAAACAAAGCTGCTCAGAAAAGTTATGCTTACCAGACTGATAATGAAATAGAGCTGTATCATTCATGTGAGAACACGTTTCTTAAAATCTTTTCCTTTGCTGCTGTTTAATTTATTACAAGTCCAAAAATATTAACTATTTATTGTCTTACAAATCCTAACTTTCTCTGTAAAGTTTAATTTATTTCTCCGTACTGTAAATGAAATGTCACTTTACTCAACGACAGAAATATTTTTGTGAGTTAACAGTCATTTCGTCTTTGCACATGCATTCAGTTCTTGGCATTAATGCACCACAAGCAGGCAGATGTGCAAACACGAATCAGTGTTGTTCCCTTGTATGCAGTCACACAATGACTCAGCTTTGTACAAAAAGTGACTCAGGCACAAACGCTGCACAGTATCAGTGCATCAGGTTTGCATCCTATATGACGGCCTGCTGTGTGTTTTATCGCAGGAAGGGGAAGACACACAATGTCCCCGGTGAAGGTGGAAAACACCGCCTCATGGACGTGGTAGGTATCAAGAAATCAAACATGTTAATATCTTGATTTGACCTAAACCAACCATTGAAGTGTATCACAAAAAATATGGACAATTTGTATCCATTGTTTCTTTATTGTAGAAAATAAATGCTTCTCACTAAAAGCATATTGTCTTTAAATGGTGCCACAGTTGTGAAAAAAATGCATTTCTCAGCTTAACCTCACAGTTGGGTATGTTGGTTGTACCCATAAAACAAATTAGCTAGATCCTTTCTTTTAACTCCTAGCAGCTTATTTAGCTGTTTTATACTTTTGGTTTTAATGAAATAATAAAAAAGACATGTTGACCATTTAGAAAAATGATTAACAGGGACAAACAGGGAAATCCGTATTGCTTCATTTGCATCTTATTACTGTAGGTAGAATCTTGACTAATTGCTGGACAAAATGCTGCAAATAGCTCTGCGCTGGTTGTGCTTTAACTCTTGGCAGCCTTCCAAGCCTGGTTCTGATTAGTTTGTTCTGAGTTTTCTGGGCCGAGCTGATAGCTTCTCCAAACCTTTATCTGTAGAGGGCTGCCTCAGTGCTGACAGGGTTGGGGGGACGGTATTGTGGTGCGATGTTCCTGTGATATTATATTCGCTCCCTGTCTAAAGTCTCAATTGAAGCTTTGATATTTAAGGTAGCAGCATCCAGGCTCTAACAATGTGCTACCTTTGGACATCTGACCATCAGTACTTCGGGTTCTACATGTTCAGAACAAGACGAAGCTGTTGAGTTTTTCATCATTGTAATAAAGGTCCTTGAAATCCTTTTTAACAACCCGAGTAAAGATTAAACAAACTCGGTCGTAAAAAATATATGTTCTTTATTAAACAAAAAAAATATTTTCCTCTCTTTCTACAACACTGATGGATTAAGGTAGACAATATAATATTTGAACTCAAACCCGCACTACCAGAGGTACAGTAAGGTTTCACAACAATAAGGTGAAAAACAACCACTGAACACTGCAAACGATCAGATATAATATTGTCTACCAGCTCACAGTATGCTTGGCGGAGTGACCAAGGAAAAAAAAAAAACAAATCAATGGAAAAAAGATAAGAAAAAAACAAACAGTTAGTCCTCCCTCACAAGCGAACAATGGGACCAAAGACACCAAATAGGGGCGGACTAACTAAAAAACAACAACACATAAACTGAAGGAGAGCAGGAGCAACAAAAAACATCTCTGTAAACAAACAGAAAACATCAAATAAAATAAAAAAAATGCAATCAATGTATAGTTTTAATTACTACCTTAAAAGCACTAAAAAAAATACCTGCGTATCGTGTACATCACCCTCATCTGCCCGCATACACAGCCTGGTCTAAAAAACCTGCAGGGCCTCCTAATCAAGGAAACAAAAACGGTTAAAATATACATTTGTCCTAATAAAAATTCATATATTCTTGACGAATGTATAACATGCGTGGAACCAAGAGGCGTCCTGGCATCCCACAGATACCTTCCAAGAAATGCTCACAGCTTCCGCTTTTATACTGCCTGGACAACGCCCACCATACCACCTGTAACACCTTGAAGGATTTTGTGAATTTGAAAAAAAAAACCTTCAAGGTCCTGGATGGTTTGTACACAGCCTTAAATCATCACCTCCCTTAAATGTCCTTGTTCACGTTTTATCATTTTTGGTTTGTGTGTTTTTTTCCCTTGTATGTAGTCAGGGTAGTGAACATGTGCCTAAACAGCAGTGGAGTTTACATTCTTTTTTCAGGTGAATTGAGGAACCACGTTGTCATGGAGTCATTGTGATCTAGTGCCATGTAGCGGTTCCCAAACTTTCCTTGCTGGGCCGCTTTTGTTCACAAAGAAGTTTACGGGCCGCCTAAATCTTTAATGTGGTCTCAACCTTTTCAACAATTAAATAGAGAAAAGTCAAAAGCAGTAAATAAAAAAATTGCAATAAAATAAACTACAGTCTCTTTAAAAAGCGCTTAACTAGACTCACTGCAAAAAATGTAAATCTAAATAAGTAATTATTTCTTAAAATAAGTGCATTTTATCCTGATTTCAGTAGATAAATGAGACACTTTGCCAATGGAACAAGACAATTTACATTTGAAATAAGAAAAAACAATAGCATTGTCTTATTTCAAGTGCATTTTATCTAATTATCTTATTTTAGGTGTAAAAATACTCATCCCATTGGCAAACTATCTTATTTACCTGCTCAAATTAAGGGTAAATACACTTGATTTAAGATTTTTTTTACTTGATTTCAGATTGTTTTTGCAGTGCTTATGTTAAAATTATTTGTTAACTGTTTATTGTAGTGTGTAACAGAATACACTGGAAAAAATTTAAATCTAGATAAGTCGTTATTTCTTAAAATAAGTGCAATTTTTCTTGGATTGAGGAGGAAAAAGATCCACTTTGCCAATGGAACAAGACAAATTACATTTAAAATAAGAAAACACGTTCGCATCGTCTTATTTCAAGTGCATTTTATTTAAATATCTTATTTTAAGAGTAAAAGCATTCATTCCATTGGCAAACTATCTCACTTACCTACTCAAATTAAGGTTAAATGCACGTAGTTTGAAAAATTTTGACTTATTTCTGGGTTGTTTTTCCAGTGTATAACACAGACACACGCATTTGTTCTGCTATATGTAGAGAGGACCATGTGTTAACTCCCATTGTCTTCCATTAATTTTCAATCATTTACAACCCATTCTGTGCCCTAACCCTAAAACTAACCATTAGCAAAATAGCTTGTGAGGACCAGCAAAATGTCCTTACTTTACAACAACCGGTCCTCATTGTCATGGTGAAATAAGAGAAAATAAATGTAAAGACGCCTGTCAAACTAGGTCATGTATTTAATTCATTTCTACCACACCCATGCAGGGTCATGGTTTGCATAGGGACCATAGGGACATGTCCCAACCACAATTTTGTGAATAACATGCTTATAATTTACAATCCAGCGTTGTTACAGCAGTCCCTTCTTTTCTCACAACTTGTATATTGAAGTCGATATTTTAAATGCTCAGTGTCAGTTCCTCTTATAGTTCCCACACCCATGTAAATACAATAACTATATTTGCAGTCCCTTCAATATGTTATTTTGCTTTTTTTTTACAATACAGAGAATATCAGTATATCAGATTTAAAAAAAAAACATAAGAGTGGGTTTTACCTCTGTATATTACCTGTAGAAAACACCGGATAAATACAACAGAAATATTTAGACTATATTTGGTTAAAAAGGCACATATTTACCCTCCGTCTTAGTCCCTGGTAAGTCCAAATGTAACCTTATTCAGAGTGTAAGGTTGTCTCAATTTTACACACTGGAAAAAAATAGAAATCTAGAGAAGTAATTTTTTCTTAAAATAAGTTAATTTGTTCTTGGATTGAGGAGGTAAAAGATACATTTTGCCAATGGAACAAGAAAATTTACATTTAAAATAAGGAAACAAAATTGCATTGTCTTATTTCAAGTGCATGTTATCTAATTATCTTATTTTAAGAGTAAAAATACTCATTCCTTTGGCAAACTCTTTCATTTACCTTCTCAAATTAAGGGCAAATACACTTAATTTAGGACATTTTTACTTATTTCTAGATCATTTTTCCGAGCCACTGTTGCTTCAAACATTGATAAACAGCATCGTGTGTGTATTCCTTATAACATTTGTATAAATGTAGCAAAAAATGCTGTTTTATCTTTAAACGAAATGTGCCCTGATGCTTACGTAGAGCATAAAAAAAAAAAAAAATAGGAGCATGCATAATGCGTAGGACCAATGACATCAAACCAATTCAACTTAAGACCAATAGTGTCCCTACCAAAGTTGAGATCCAACCTACGCCCTTGTACAGGGTGCAACCGGCAATTTAGAAACCATTCTAAGCTGTAGGAGTAGTTAAATGCCTCTCCTGAGGAAACTGGTCCTGGAAAGTCCTTGAAAGGTCCTGATATTTGAAGTTAAGCAGGGTTTGTGAAAGCTGAATGCATTCTTTTTACAAATGTGGTACAACTTAGTGGAAATCTAAAGGTAGTTTCATGGTATAAATGTTACAAAATAAAATAATCAACCCAACAAAAGTGTCATTATTTTGTCTTTAATTTAATCTGACTTGTTTAAACACAAAGCAAGATAGTCATGTAATAACCATTAACAATCATCTAAGTCACTTCCTTATTAATACATGTGTGCGTTTTCAGGGTATACTCAAACAGTCAAAGCTGCGGTCCATCAGTAAATCTGATACCGAGATGAACAAGATGAACTGCAATGGCAAAAGTGAGTGCTTCCTTTGCATTTAAGTCTTGTTGTGTGCTCCTGTAAAGTGTACCTCGTGGTCGTCATGGAGAAACTGTTGTTGTTCTTTTCACTGCATGACAAAATAATTTCTGTGTCATTCAAGTTGATTTTTGGGACATGAACGCAAAGCATCGGGGTATGATCTGTAAGTATGATTTACTTGTAAGCATAAAAAAAAAAGCAAAGCTTGAGTTTGAAGGTCATTGCAGTGTTTACTGGACACATTAATATATGTTCGGGACCAAATTATCTCAAAATGAGATGAAATCTGAGGACATAAGATGACAAATTAAACCGCAAACAGAATTCACATCATATTGAAGATTTAGCTTTATTTAATTAAGTCTTTTCAAAAACCTAATTTATGAGCATGGATCTCTTTCTCTAAGAGACACCAATCAGAGTGCCAAGACGACTCCTGGAGCGCCTTCACTCAGAGTCACCAGAGAGCTGCGTTTCTGGGCACGGAGACAGTCACCCAGGAGGTTTTGAAAAATAGAAACATATGTCCTGCCTCATACTTGTCCCGCTTCCACTGCAATGTGTTGAAGCCAGTTTGGATCCAAATCCTCAAACATCTATGTCAGTTCCCAATTCCCTGTCACTTTCAGATTTTCCTTCATCCCACGTTCAGAAACTCTTAGTTAAATGAGGGATGTGAATTCTGTTTCCTGAAGGGCATCAGCTGTAGAGGGAGTATAACAACAGGCAGTTGCCATGCAGAGGCATAAAATAAGATACGTCCAGCCAGCATGGACCTTCTGCTGCTGCCCAGCCGCTGGTCTAACTCTGACCTTCGTTCTCAAGGCAGGCAGCTTCCCCAGATCCCCTCTGGGACTGGAGAGGACAGCGAGCACACTTATTCAGAAGTGGGCCAACGTTCCTCCACTACACGTACTGACGATGCCCTCTACGCCATGGTAGGCAGGGCCGGGCAGACGGACACTCCGGCCCCTCCGGCCGTTCCAGCCAACACCCCGGCGCCCCCTGACCCAGATGGCGAGGTGGACGGAGGGCTCCCTGAACCCGAGGCGCCGGTCATGTCTCCCCCGCACCCTCCAGAGACGGCGGAGTACGCCTGCGTCAGGAAACTGAGGAAGGCTGAAAAGGCGCCTCAGAAGAGGGACAGTGGGACGGATATGGCGGAGCCACCAGCGCCGCCTCTACGCCACGGGCCGCCTTCGCATCCTGCCCCTCCACCGCCACACCCCCACAGCACAAAGTTGCCTCGTAGAAACATTGAGGCCTTCAATGTCCCATCATTTCCAAAGGTTCGTACAATTTAATATTTTGTCATATCTTTTTAGTCTGTATTTGGAAAACAGACATTTATAAAGTTAAAAACTGCAGATATCTTAAGATGCCTTCCTGCAGACAACAATATAAAAGTTCCTCACAAAAGTAAACCCAGCCTTTATATTTTTATGTATATTTCTTCATGGAAAAGTTGCTGTAACTATGAACATGGCGTTTATTAAAGTTTTTTTTTCCACTAGAATAATCTTTCCTCCCTCATGATGAAACTCGTAGGATTGGTGGGTGTTAGAGACATCACACTCCTAGTGTTAATGTTTAAAGACTTGCTTAGCACCTTTACTTTCAGTTACGTTAGTAATTAAATTCAATTCAGTTTGTTTATATAGCGGCAACTCACAACACATCCTCTCAAGGCACTTTACAGTTCAACCAGATCATACAGTCAAATTGATTCAAAGTTTTCTATCTAAGGAAAACCAGTTGATTGCATCGACTCATTGACTCAAATACAATCCCTCACACTAAGCATGCTTGTAGCGACAGTGGAGAGGACAAACTCCCTTTTAACAGGAAGAAAACCTCCAGCAGAACCAGGCTTAGTGTGAGCGGCCATCTGCCGAGGCCGACTGGGGTTCAAGGAGACAGAAGCGGAGACACAAAAAGCAGCTCCGAGCCAGCTCCCATGCCAGAGGACGAAGAGAGCACATCCAGCCAGTCACAGTCAGAGAAACAGGACTACACTGGAAAACAGGCAGATCTCCAGCATCTATAAACAAGGGTGTTGATGGAAGCAGCACAGCTGATGTTTCTTTCCAGGATGGCGTCACAGCCAAACAGGAACAGACGAGGCAAAGCTAATCTGAGGAAAAGCAGAGAGAGCAGAACGTTAGAGATTAAACTAACAGATTCTGCAGAATAGGAGAATAGAGAGAGAATGAAGCAGAATGATGAAATAGGGGTCCCTATGTCCTCCAAAAGTCAAAGCCTATAGCAGCATAACTATAGAGATAGCTCAGGATAACCTGAGCCACTCTAACCATAAGCTTTATCAAAAAGGAAAGTTTTAAGCCTAGCCTTAAAACTAGACAGTGTTCATCTGGTCAGTGTTTTATTTCGGTCATTGTTGTGCTGGAATATTGCCTTCTGGCCCACTTTCCTAAAGGGACAGGATCCTGGTCCGAGCACATGGTTCAGCCCTGGTTCATTCATGGTTCAGATATTACAACCACCATTCTTCACTGTAGGCATTTGCTTCACGCCGTCTTGCCACTACGAACACTTCACACCATTTAAACCATCTGAATCACCAGCTGCTTCTTTTTTTACTTTAATTTGTCAGGCAGATGGATTTTGATGTGCTGTTTTTTTCTAGTGACCATGAAAAACCGCAATAGCTGATGTTTTAAACACTCTTACTGTTCTCTTGAAAAAGGAATTGTACATTTTGACATATGTGATGGCAGCAAATACACGTGCATCCTCCTGCAAGAATTTATCTCGCAGGGAATAATACGAACACGTAGGTAGATTTGAAAGCTTCTTTAGTTCTTCATAAATCAAATCAACAACAGGAAATTAGATTTTGTATTTAGTCATCTTATATTTGTTTGGTTTCAGTAGATGATGATTTATCTTAAACATTTAAGAGCACTAAAAAGCAAAAGGATGCAAGCAAATTTACTCCTAGTGCCACATGTTCATCTCACCGTTCCCCGCTCCTCTTTAACCCTCTTTTACTTTGCCTTTTTCTTGACGTCTTTAGCCCCAAGCACCTTATCTGATTAAGCGGGTGAAGATTCTCAGTCATCCAGGTCATAGTTATTCCAGGCTAACAAAATAAGCCAAACAACCCCGTTTCTATTTTCATGTTTTCAAAACAAAAACAAGGTTTTGATGGGTTACTGTAAAAAACCTCGAACTCAACACTATTCCTGACATTTTGAATTGAAAATCTTCCTGGATGGGAAGCGAAACATCTTCAAACTTGGAAACAAACTCTTCTTTTTTTGGCTTATCTGATTAACATACCTGCCTCTCCAGGTTTTTGACTTCCAGCTTCCTACTTTCCCCACAGATCAGAGCCACATCTGCAAGTATCATAATAAACGGAAACTGCTGCCTGACCTGAATGGCAACTTCCAACAAGGATCTTAGAGATTACCATGTTTCAGGGGGATCTGTAAATGAGAAAAACGCAAAACATTTTAACAGTGCTGCACAAATTAAATGAAAACAAGCATTTAATAAATCCGTTGTGATAACCTTGTTACTGAAGTTTACACCATCCTAAACACTCGGTTTGAATTGAGAAAGCTTCCTGGAGAGGTGGCTAAACGTCTTCAAATCTTGGAAACCAAGTCCAGTGGATATTTTTTGAATTTTTACGGAATGACTATGACCTGGATGACTGGGAACCTTCATCAGCACACTCGGTAGAAGCAGCTCCTTCTTGGCCCAGTTTTATGTGTGCAGCATCTCTAGCTTTCCTGCAAACACTTCAGCGTTTTACAACTTTTAATCATTTTAAAATAAACCCAGAGTATGATGCTGCCACCACCATATCTCATCGTGGGCATGGTTTTATTTTGGTCTTGAACATTGAATCAGAAAATGGCTTCATTTGACCATTCTTCCACAAGGTTTAACATATTTTAGTCAGATTAGTTAGTTTTCTTCAGAGGAAACTGATTCCTTCATGAAACCCTATAGTCTAGGAGAATATGATTCACAGGTAGGAAACCATAATTACTTAAGTCCTCAATTAGTTTATGTCTATCGATGGCTATAGCCATATGATGCAAGTAAGCGAAACTCAAGGAGCACAAATTCAGTGTTAATAAATTCACTATAATTAATAGGTGTGAGCTCCAAAAGACCACATGCTGTGAGTAAATTGAAATGGGCTTTACAGCAATATAATAAGGATATGCACATTTATCCATTACTTTTATGGAGTGCATATGATTATTTTTTTGTCTTTTTACCTTCCTAACAAATGTTTTTGTTTTTTAAGGGAGGTTGAAATGTAGAGAAGGTTTGCAACACATATACATTTATAATTTCCTATGGTTAAAAGGCATTTTAACGGGGGTGCAGAAAGCAAAACAAGGTTAAAAATCAATGATCACCTCTTTTAATTTTGTGTGAGAAATGCTTTTTTTTCTTTGGAGTTTGAAGCGCATCAATCAATTTCTGGAGTCTCTGTGAGATTTTTCTCTAAATTCTGTGGAGGACCTGCAGGGCTGTAATTCTGCCAGTGATAGTTTCCCTTGGCCCTCGGCTGTTCGGATGCGCTGGCACTTCTGTAAAAATCTCTTTGAAGTCCAGGCAAGGAGCTTGTTTATTGGTCATAAGGTTTTTACTGATTGTTGGGATGTTTCTGCCTTCAACTGTGTCACCTCCTCCATATGTTTGCAGCAGCTGGACTGCAGGTTGTCTGACTCTTTGCTCCCCTCCAGATGACACCATTTGTTGCCCCATTTGAGGTCAGGAAGGTTACGCTATCTGCTGTGACCAGGGTTCATTTACACGCACAGTTCACAGGCTTACATGAGAACGCCGTCTGATCAAAGGTCTGTTTGCCACAGATTTTCTTGTGGATGATGCAACTCAGTGAAATAGAGTCATCTACAATAGAGGCACCTGCTTCTTCACAGGCTCCACCTTTTAGGGAAAATCTCTTCAGCGCTCTATGAAATCCATTTAACACGACTCCAGCAATGTACCTATTCTTAAGAAGGGTTAATTTGTCATCCATGAGCCCGTTTCAAATTGCACTTTTTACAGTCAAAGAGGTCCTCCCATCTCTGCAGCCACATTCCTTAACATGCGAGAAACTTTGTCCTAACGTATGATTAAATGCTTTGTTAACAGGAAGTGATGTTTATGGGAAACGGAGAGCAGTACATCTGGAAGCCTCCAGAGGAGGATGACATGCTGATGCTCCAGAATAAAGCTCTGGGTCCACTGGGAGCTCATACAATGGAGAATTTACAACCATCTGCAGCAGTGGTGAGTGACGAAGACTTATAATGGGATTAAAACAGTCTGTCATGCCCAGAATACAATATAAAATTTTTAAATCTTAGTTTATTTGCATTCATCTAAAAGAAAGTATTCATTCCCCTCAACCTTTTCCAGATATTTCCCCACCAGAAAAACTGGTTTGTCCCCTAAAACGAATGGCCACATTTAAGTATTGTCAAATTTTGAAGTAGAATAAGTGGGTTCAGAGTTTGTATCGAGTTTCCAATATCTTGTAAGAACACTTTCTGTTGCAATGAAATGTGTAAGTCTGGAGGTGCATGTCTTTTTTTTTTTTTTGCATGTCTTTAAGCGTGGATGGAAAGTGACATTGAGTCCGAAGCTAAATATCTGTTTTCCAACATATTTAGATCTGGGGGAGGGGGGTGGGCTTGTAGAACAAATTTTATCTTTTTAATCAACCTATTGATAGCAATTTTGAATCTTGTTACATGTTAAGATAAACAGGTGAAAAATAAACAGCTCACTTACTAAAATATGTAATTTACTAAAGTTGACTTTGTTCGTTCAACTGGTTTACTGTTGTATAAGCTGGAGTTGGTCCTAGAGAGAAATATTAGGGAATTAATGTCTTAATATTTCTATTGTTTAATAAAGAGGATTAAGGCCACTGAAAAAAAAAAGTAAACTTTTTTTTAAAATTTCATTTCAGTATAATATGAGAAAATATGACTTTTTCCCTCAGAATTCTGACTTTAATCTCAGAATTCTGACTGAATATTGACAGCTAACAAACATGTTAGCATCAAGCTGTAGCCATGTCTGTTTTAGAAATTAAACTAGCTCTCGTTTTAATCACCTTCTGCTCCTCCATTAATGAAATAGCATCACCGGGGATGCCTCGGACACGTAAAAAGTTGCCTAATTCCGCCATTTTCCACCAATGTGTTACTCTCCTCCCAAACAACTCACATCTTTGTCAGTGAAGCTGAGCGCTCCCACATCTCTTCCTACATGGTGCCCATCTACATTAAGATCCAACATTCCGAGATTTAAGTCAGAATTCTGAGATTAAAGTCAGAATTCTGACCTTTTCCCATATTAATCTGAAATAATATTTAAAAATCAGTTCCCCTTTTTTTTCCAGTGGCCCTAATCCTCTTCCATTCAGCCCTAAGATTGAGAAAGGAGTTTTTTATGTATAATAATATATGGAAAGTTATACAATCACAGTTAAAATATCTAACTTCTAAGTATATGTTTCATAAATCTTAATAAAACAAATACTGATACTATAAATACAACTACAAAAACAGTTTTACCTTAAGCCCTTATAAACGCTACTAAAATAGATCAAGTTTGTTTCAAGGTGTTTGTAAAGGTTTTGGACTCTGATGAAAACACAGTTGGTATAAAAACCTTTGTTTCTGTGGTGTATTTCAAATAAAGCTGAAAACAAATCAGGGAGGTCCTTCCTTTTCTGCCTTTACTTGATTAAATGTTTATTTGGTTGCTACTAGTGATACGATTTAAAGTGAGGATGTTTCTTCGTTTCCTAAGCTTGTGATTACTTTTAATGAAGGTCATATCTGTGCAGTGTTTTATTTTAGCTCCCTGAAGCACTTTTCACTTCATTGCTCAGTAGACGGATTGAATAACATTTGTACTATTGTGCAGAAAGAAAAACAAACTTCTATATATACCAAACACTTTGCTTCACGACCTGGATTAAAAACAACTCTACAGTGCACATCTAGCAGGCAGCATTTCATCAAGCAATAATTTGATGGTCTTCTTCAGTCAGATGTTCTGATCTGGTCTACAACATGCCTGTCAGCTTTCATGTATTTTCATTGCTCCCAGTTGCTCTTTAGGCATTGGTTATTCTAGTTTTCACAGTGCGGAGATGATCGTTTGCTGCTGATTGCATAATTAGTTAGATGATATAAGAGGAGATACCAAAAAGTACCTGAGATTCATGGGGGGATAAAACACAGAGCAAAAAGCTCATAATCCAGTCACTACATTATTATCCCCAAGCAAAAGACACCTATTTACTGTCAAATACCAATATCAAGCAATCATTTCTGTGCCACGCTCCGCTGATGCATTCAGTCTAGTTTATCTTATGTAATATGCTGATTGTCTTAGAAACTAATATTTGTAATTTCTATTATTTGTTTGCCATAATCATCTAAATTAAATATGTTTAGGTTTGAAGAAAGAAGTTCCTTATTCTGCAATTAATCTATGTAATATTTATGTTTCCCTTTCTGAAATGATTGACAACAGATATTCGAAGAATTTTATGATATCCGCTATTTAAATGTACCTGTAATCAAGCAAGTACTGTCTAGATTGTAGTTATCTAGATAATAATTTTCTAGTTTTGAGATCAGCTAAGTATAAGTTTGTAACTTGAATTTTTAGTTGCTTTTCCATCTTTTCTTTAGTACTTATCGTTTTAAATCTAGCTGGTCTTTTAAGGTTTAAAATTGTTAGTCATTGAACAATCAAGAAATAATCTTCAGCAAGAGCAATGAACAAAGAGATCAGGGTTAAAAAGTGTTAGGTCATCAAAACAATAAACTCGTCTTTTCATACCTCACGTAACTGTTTAATCGATCATTCTGAAAGCAGAGAGAGGGGCACAGCACAAAACCTACAAAGACATTGCAATCTACTTAATGTTTACCTCCAGGCTAGGATAACATTAATCATGTTACCTCTGGAGGAGCTGCAGAAATCAAACCTCAGGATTTCAGGAAAAAATTGATTTTAATCTGTGCCAGGAAAAAAAAAGTTGTTAAAAGAAAAACTGTGAAGTAAAACTAATGCTGAAAATAAATCTGAAAACGTCACCGTCTTCATGAAACATACAAGAGGCGCTTCAGAGGGAATGTTTCGATCAAAGAACATTTAAGTGATAGAATGGTTTAAAGTCAAGACCTGAAATCTAAGAGGATCTTTGACCTGAAAATCTTTATAAAAGAATTAAAAGCTATTAGGGTTGTATAAATGCAAATTTTTTTGAAAGAGGACTTTGTCAGCAGTAAAGAGAGATCATTTAAACAAAATTAACAGTTTTAAGGTAAGACTAGCCTAACAAGTGTCCATCTTTAAAGGACAAAATCCCTAAACAAGTTTTTAAGTCTCTGAATAAAGAAATTCAACATTTTTTCTGTGTTTCCAGGTGGCTGAGATGTACTCCAAAGTCTGCAAACCTGGCAAGAAGAAGAGAGCGATACCAGGGTCTCCACCAGCCAACCTTGGCTTCCGGACCTTAGGTCGAGGCGACTGGGACCGGGATCGAGACGGTGGATTCAGTGTGGTGGTCAAACCTCAGACATGGGCCCCTCAAGAAGGCAAAGCAGCTGGGGGATCCCTGGACGACCACTGCTACGAGTCCATCGGCACGGAGGAGTGCGATCAAGCGTACGATAACCTGGAAGGTGGAGGCGCATGGAAAAGGGAGAGGCCTCCGAACACATGTGCCACCCTTCGACCAAGGAGGAAGAAAGCCCAGCAGCCACTGCAGCAGCAGCATCCTCCTCCGCCGCCGCCCACGCAGCAGACCCCCAAGTTACAACACCTGCCTGCCAAAGCCCTGCTGCTGCCGGGAGAGAACCTGTATGAGAGCATCGGTGACCTGAAGCAGGGCTCCGCCACATCCAGCACCACCACCATCTTCACCTTTAACGACGGCATGGAGATGTATGTTACAGGGCTCTGAGGCAGCGGCTGCACTGTGACCCCCATCGACACCTCGAGGAGTGACTGCTGGGTCCCTGTCATGCTCACCCACACATACTGTTTACATTTAAGTAACATCAGGCCTTTCACAGGCTCCAGAGGCCTTGGGTGGTAATGTTGATCTGTTATGACCTGGGCTGAATACAAAGTCCTGTCTGCAAACCTTAAAAGAATCCAAAGGTAGTAAATAATAAATGAGCACAAGACCATCACAGAGCAATCTGTAGGCAAACAGTAGCACTTCAGTTTTACTGATACGTCTGTGCAAAGCACAATAAAGTTAGAAGCCTAAATTCTTCCTCAATTGTTGCGGGTAAAAATAGTCCTTTATTCGGTCCGAGCCGGACCTCTAATTGGGGAATTATTTTAGTAGCACTTCCCTGTATATTTGACCAGATGTGATTTAGGATAGAATTTAAATGAAACATAAATAAAAAACTCTTGAAAGCTCAGGGATCAAGAATTATATAACCAAGTATTTTAATAAAAAAATTAATTGCACACATATTGCATTCCTCCTAAACGCTTTGACAAATTAAGACCATTTCACCTTAACAAAAAAAAACAAAACAAAAGCCAATCAGATACTTCCCTCCATGAAGTTTCACCCGACATGGATTGAACACTGTCTCCACTGCTGTCTGTATATGAGGTGTTTTACTTTGTTGATCCTGTTCTTGCACTTTGCCTGCTACGAGATGCATGCCTAAAAAAAAAAAGAGAAAAACAAAAAAAAAATAATTGAAAAAAACTAAAAAAAAACAAGCTCTGTATGTGGTTTCTCTATATAAATGTTTTTATTTTCATCCGTAGTTGTTTACCTTTTTTTTTTTCCTGTTTTTTTTAACCGTGTTGCTTTATTACTCTGTGGAGCCGGTTTGATGAAGGATGTGTTTGGCTTAGTGGAGATCTGAGCAGCCGAGGAGAGCGTCTAAATCCTCTGCTGTGCCTACGATAAACACACGAGCTCAAATGAATCCAGGAGAACTGTTCGAGTCCTAAACGTGGAGACCACCCACCCCCTCCAACCGCCCCTTCCTTAACACGCCCCTGTCTGCTCAGTCACATCTGTGGATCATCAGAAAATTGTGTTAGCAATTGTCATGTCTCAACATCACTCCATTGAGGAAAACTCTGTTATCGGTGTTAAAATATATCGCAGGAAAGAAAAAAAAAAAGACATAGCAAAAGAGCATCAACCGCCCCCTTTTTGGATAAAACCGTTAAGTTTACATCCAAAACCTGAATAATAACAGAAACGTCACTCAACCAAATATTCCCAAAACAAACAATGTGATACTGTATGTTGATGCAACGTGTATGTACATGACAAAAAGAAAAAGAATAATAAATATAACATCAGTGTCAAGAAATCTATCTTTTTCTATTATGTTCAGTTGTGTTTTTTGGAATGACTTATATTGTGACACAAAACTACAAAACAGCTGCATTGTAAAAAAAAAAAAAAATTATTCCGTGTTAATCTCTCTGTTTGTTGTTTTATCGAAGCCATGAAGCTCTGTTGTGTTCTTGGAAAAAGCCCTGCTAAGTTTTAAATGTGGCAGCTAATGTTGTGTGTTTGCTATCCAGACTACAGGGTCTTGTATTCGAAAAAGCGTGTAATTTAAGTGCTAAAGTGCAAAAGATTGTAATGTTTTATATCAAGAATACTATTCATGAAATGTCAAGTCAAGTTTATACTTTTGTAATAAAGTGGCACTTTAAAAAGAAAAAGTTTTATCTCATAGTTTCGCTCATTAAAGTTGAGGGAAATAAGCAAGAAGCTTTTCTGATGTTAGAAGCTGCCTGAGGATTTTTATTTTTAGCCTAAAAATAAAAGAAAGAAAAGTATTTGCATACTTTTCTGTCTCTATTTCTGGCTTCATTTTAGATCTGAAGCTTGTGGTAGTTCAGGAGTTTTGAAGGAAGGTTCTGTTTAAAGGTTATATGCAGTCAATATCTTACTCTATATTTATGCCTCGTTTGATTTGTGAACAGATGTCGGATCTCAGGATGAAATCTCACCCATGCTGAGCTTGTTATATAAGCATGTCAGAAAAACTGGGGGATTTGCTAATTGTTTTGGCGGCAACTATTATTAGCAAAACAGGCGGAAAGGAATGATTCCCCTCTTTTTAATGAACTAAAAAGGAAGTAGCACACAGACAGAAATGGCAGGGCTGCATTTAGTAATTGAGTGACAGAGGGGGTAAGATGTGGTCGTCTGTTTCGCTCATTAGGGAATTTGTAATCCGTCCCCTCTACAACGATCCCTCTGCCAACCAGGCATGTCGGGGGGCTCTACAGGAGTCTTTGTACTGGGTGGTCGTATTGCTAGGGGCACTTGATCCGGGGCTTGACCTTCGCGGCTGGATTTGGAGGTGTTGCTAAGTTAGGTGGGGTTCAGTACCCATCCCACCCTGTGCATGGGTAGGACCCATCATTTCTATGCTTCAATGATGACCTTCCTCAGTGTGGGACGCATGCTGCCCTATAGTGATGCCTTGTGTCTGTCTGAGTGTAATTGATCCAGTTTAAACACAAGTCACTATTGCATCCATGCAACCTGCCAACTTTGAGGCAGGATCATCTCCTGATTAAATTAATTTAACATTTTATTAGGATATCGTCAACAGATTTTATTTTTTCAGTGGAACAAACTTCCTTGATACTTGCATAAAACAGGCATCTTAATATGGTTTATTAAAAAGGCTTATTAGTCCCAGAGGGTTAAGTTAACAGCTGGTGTAAGCGGGGCTATGACCAAAAGAAAACTTTAAACAGAGATCACATATTTAGGAAGGAAGTAAAAGCAGGAGGCAGCTCTGCACCATTAGTCCTCTTCCTGTGTAAAACCTGCTTTGTAAACAAAACCACAAAAACTATATCTAATTAGAGCCACTTCTGAATAGAAAAGTAAGGCTGTATGATATTTAGGCTTCCCTGTAGCTTTGTTACCAGTCTCAGTACGCGTTTCAGGATTATCCTTAGATGCGCACTAACTCTATTCCAATTCATAAAAATATATGTGCAATAAGCATTTAAAACATGCAGCTGAAACCAGGAATACTTTCCCCCCCATGTAACATGTAAAAAAAGCAGAAATATATATCTTCCCTGCAGGTTAATAAAAGAACATGTTTTAAAAAAGATTGTTCAATACAATTAGATTCGTTACATTCACTTCATTTTCAATGAGACACAATTTTTCTACGTGAAACACATACAGAGAAAAAAAAAACAGGCACAATAAATGATTTCAAGCAAAGTAACCTCCTGGTACAGCGATGCATTAAAACTGAAAGTCATTGGTTGAGCTACAGTAAACTTTTGAACCGACCAGCTGAGAGGATCTACCAAAACATCTCAGAAAAGAAAGTGAGGATGGGAAAGGTTTCACAGACCAATTTTAGAAACTAGTAAATGGCTCCAAGAAGTTTTCTACTGATTAAATGTTACCCAGTTAGCAGAGGTGTCATAACCTGACTCCGCCAGATGGATTTGCTACGCATATCCATCTGGAAACCTTCCGTTGAAGTAATTTTGGGAAGGGGCGGAAATACTGGTTAGTTGATTGGCCTATGTTGGTGATAGACGGGCCAAATAAACCAATCAGATCAACGAAGCATATGACGTAACAGAGCGACGACGAAGAGGAGCCAATTGATCGATCAAACTCTTGCCGAAACCAGTCGGGAGAAGAGCAAAAACATCTTTTCCTCTGAGAAAAGCCTCCAGAGCAGTGTTTTGCTCTTCTTTTAGTGAAGAAATACTCTGTAATTTCGATAAAACTTGCTCGATAGCCACGCTAACGCTAGTTTCATCGGCTGAAGCCGGCATGTTCTTTAGACTGAACTGTCGCGCTTCTCGTTGCGTCACACCTCAACCCGCCTCAAAGCCAACGCTGATTGGACGTTCGTTTGGTGAACGGCTCCAAATTTTCTTTAACGGAGAGTCTCCAGACTGATTAGCGAGTGAAATCTTGAAAGCTTGCGAGATCAGGATGGTCTCACGAGGCTAGAGGTGTCAAGTAACGAAATACAAATACGTTTTTTACTGTACTTAAATACACTTTTTAGGCATCTATACTCCATTATCTATTTATCTTCCTACTTGTGACTACTTTTTCACACTAGTATCTGTACTTTCTATTCCTTTCATTTTAAAAACAAGCGCTACTCGTTACTCTTGGCTTCGGTTTAATGTTTATAAATATTTATTTCATGTCATGTGCGCCATCCAATGCAGATCATTGGCGCCATCCACATATAGTGAAAACTAGTGTGATTGGATGAGTCATATAACGCAAACACCCATTGGTTAGCTAAAGGAAATCATCAGAAGCAAGCAGGTGTTCTTCAAACTGCAAACGTGAATTGTCTATGCCATGCTACGATGTTGGATTCAGAAAAAGATGTTGAAATGTCTGAAAGACCTCCCTTATCCTTGGTCCTATCTCAAAGAATGTTTTGAAATAGTCGAAAAATTGAGCTTTCAGTTCATATAGTGGCATCTGGCTGTTTTTTTAAAGGTTACTTTATACTTTTATACTTTAAGTAGTTTTTGGAGCACATACTTTTTCACTTTTGCTTGAGTAAAGAGGTCAAGTTGATGCTTCAACTTTTACCAGAGTGTTTTTAAGCTCTACTCAAGTAACAAATGTGTGTACTTTTGACACCGCTGCCAGTTGGGTTAAGGCTGGATATTAGGGAGATGTCAGCAAGATAACATATTTTCTTCTCTTTAAAGGAAAGTAAAGGAAAAAAGTTCAGAAATCACTGAAATACGAGATTCAAAACAGATATAAGAACATTTGTTAATATAGATCTAATTGTTTCATAGCGGTGACCCAATTTTTTCAAATTACTTTATAACCTTTTTTTTTTTTAAGCTTCAAACATCTCAACCCATCCCTTAAACCCAACAATTCACAACAATCTGTTTGAGTAGAGCTCCTTTGTGATTTATTTTTCTATATCTATGAACATACACGTGTGTTAGTAGTGGGGTCTGCGTCTGTGTATGGCTGCGGATGAAGGGGGGAGGAAGGAGAAAAAAAAATAGGTCACCCCTTAAAACAAAAAGCTTCCTGTCAACATCGTAACCGTCTGCTGACTTCTCATTGGCTGGCCTGTCTCCATGGTAACAGGTTAAACTTGAGGCAGTGGTCACATGGGCGAGCAAGTCTTCTGCTGTCTTGGAGGATACAGAATACGTCGTGTGACATCCCTGATCGTGGTGCCAGCCAGTCACGGTGGGTTGGAGAAAAGAAAAACACACACACACACTCACAGGCCAAATAAAACAAAACACGCAGGGAGCCCATCAAACCGGAGGTGTGAAGATGACACAACATTCACAGCTCGAGTGATGTGCTATAATCTCACTGTGTGCAGTGTGAATGGCTGAATGGATACATGAATGAGGAGCAGAGACCTCAATGGAGGTGCGAGAGGGGATCACAGACAGACAGAGAGGGGAGATCATGCTTTAAACTGGGAGATTACACCATAATGGGGGAGAATCACCAGGGTGGGTTTGATCAAGAGGCGTGAAAAACAGTGGTTAAAAACAAAACCCCTAACATCCTTTAAATCAAACATTTTTACAGTCAGTGAAGAAACACAGAACATTTTAAATCTTCAAACTAATTCAACCAAATAAGGCTACATTTGTAAATAAACGACCAAATGTTTAGATGTAATAAAGGTGATCCAGTGTATCTCAAAATATCAGGCAGAGCAGGGGGAATCTCTCTGGAAAGGAGGCTTAATGTGAGAGACACTGACCTCTGCAGGCCACACAGGGTAACACAGGCGGGGAGAGCTCAGCGGCCTGTGTGTGAACCCTGAGAGTCTGAGAAGCGTTTGAAATATTCAGCTGCCAGCCTGTGACCGTCCATGACCTCAGATAGGTGCTTCTGAATTCAAGCAGTGGCTTCAAGTAATGCGTGTGCAGAGAAAACTGAATTCAGACTCACCTCTCTCTCTTAGATCCTAACAGAATAAAAGATCAAATCATATTTGGAGTACCGCATATTTTTTATTCATTACCGAATGAAATTATGATATTTAAAGTATGTAAAATATAAAGAGAGAAATATTATATAAATAGTAATAACTACACCCTAATGTAAGTTTTTTCTACCATGAAACAGGAAACCACAACTTGCAATTTCTTTTAAATAATCTAATTAACCCACACTTACCTCACTAATTGCTTTTTTTTTTTTACATAACTTTTATGTTTTTCA